TGATCACTAACCACTAAACTTTACCTCTGCAAAGGTCACTTTGGGCAGTCGCACACATTTGTAGTCGCACACACTCCTGTTATTGTGTTAAAGGAACAGATCAACGTTTATATAAATCTTCTGATTCTCAGTCTAATCTAGAGTTTGTCATGACTTTCATGTTTAGCCTAGCTTAGCACAAAGACTGGAAGCGTGGGGAAACTGTTAGCCTAGCCTAGCTCTTTACAAACATGAAAAACTAATTCCATCAACTCAAGGTCTGTCTGATCTTGCATGACACGTTTCTACTGAACACACACTCGGACTGACTGGTCACCAGTAGTTTATCGTTCCCCAAATGTTGGACTGTTCCTTTAATCTTCTTGAGTCTAAATGTTTTTGATTTTCTTCTGGTTTGATGAAACTATTTGCTAACATGTTAAAGACACGACTTCCACCATCCTGAACATGCAGATGCAGCTAGTCAGTTAAACATTTGCAGAACCGACCTGCTTTACTGGGAGAAAAATGAATGATTTCAAAACATCATTAAATGGATATTCACACTAATGAACATATTTAAATTAGTAAACGCTTATTTTCCCTCAGCAGAATTAATGTTTTCATGGTAAAAATGAATTCCTGTTTCATATTTTTCCCTCAATATGCAAATAAAACATGGAGCCAAAGGATTTTACCTTCAGTCTACAAACTGGTTAATTTGGATTTTTCTGTGCCTTCTACCTTTTCCAGTGTATTGATTTTATTTAAGCACTTTCTTCATTTGTTTCCTAGTAAGCCTGGTTTTGTTCTCCATACTCACCAGTAATTTGTAAAGTAGGCCCATGGCTCAGTGGCATGTTGGCACATCGGGGACTTGAACCTGAGACCGTCCTGTCAGTCGACCACTGTTCACAGTGTGACTCTGAGCTGCAGTTCCTGTTTACGTCATCCGATGTAAATAGAAACAAATAGTCTTTGTGTAACCGTGGTTACATGTGTCATGTGTCCAGACATGTTTGTGTGACCTCAGAGTACGTCTGTCTTTGTCCACATTAAACCACACATACAGGACCTACAGCCAGTTTGTGTGTGTGTGTGTGTTGTGTGCATTTGCCTTCTGTCCTCACACTGGAGGACATAGAGTGTCACCGTCATGACACTGTCCTCATGCACTGTTTTTACACACAGACACGTCACATCATAAACACACCTGGACCGGTTGTCCATTTCCTCCTGGGCCTTTCACTGCAGACCAGTCCGACTCTCCTCCGAGGCGTGCTGGCTCACAGACCACTCAGAAAACAGTCGAGTACATCAAGAAGAAGATCTGTGAGGATCTGTCACCAGAGAGAAGCATGGACATGTTTTGACAGTTCAGTATGCCCCAAGAGTTACACAGTACCCAGGGGCAGAATTTTGAAGCGGAGGTGATGACTGAAGTCTGCTACCAGCTGGGTGTGAAGAAGGCTCTGACCACGACTCCACATCCATTTGGTTTAGGTTCTGAGGACAGTGAACCAACCTGGTGGGGGCTCTGTAGTATACTGGGGAGCACCGTGAACTTTACACACACACGCCACACATGGATAGGTATACACCCAGAGGGTGAGGACTGGCACTGTTGACCACAGTTAGCAGGTGTTCTGGGGGAGGAAACTTTGGTTTGGTGGGTTATGGTTCTGGTTGGCGGGTTTCTTTTTTGGGGAAACTGACTGTATACGAGTGTTCAAATAAAGTAGTGATGTGTCGTTCACGAACGAATCGTTCATTTTGAACGAATCGTTCCCATGACTCGAGAACATCGGTTCGTCTCGGGGAGTGATTCGATCATTTTGTGTTGACTGCGCATGCGTAACATCGCATTAGATTAGTACACCTTTCGAGTCCTCGGTTTCGAGTCGTTCGTTTTTGTAACGTCACGTGACTGCTTTGTTGGATACAGAAATTAGTTAATTTTCAACTGTCCTTATTTATTTTTAATATAAAATAGCTTTTTATTTCATACAGACTATAATTTTGTGAATATCTGTCAATATGGTTCTTTTCCATAACACTGAATGTTTTAATAAAGAGTTGGTTAATAAACTTCATCAGGGAGAATCTTTCTGTAAACTATACAGAAGACGGCACATCTTAGCTTAGCTTAGCTTAGCTTAGGATGTTAGTGACAAAAGACCAAACGAATTTGACCCAAAATATCCGGAGGTGAGGTGATGACGTAACAGACTGCATAGCCTCAAGACACAGGTACGATATTACTTATAATATGACCTTGGCTGCATTACAGTTCTTTCTTATTGGAAACGTGATCAATATGTGCGTAAGTAGATGGGGAATTAACAAGTAACATTTTAATTACGTTCTACTGAAGTGAACGAAATGACTCGAAAAAAGATTCGTTCATTTTGCTGAACGAGATTCAAAGAACCGAACCAGTAAAATGATCCGAACTTCCCATCACTAAAATAAAGGCGCAGCTCTCCGGGTCGTGGAGTGTTACGCGCACAGAAGCTGGCACAAAAGACTCGTGTCATTCCGTAGCCGAACCCTTAGATCCACCAGCTCGAGTGTCACGTACAACAGTTCTATCTTAACAACCGACATGTTTGTTCGCTGCAGGTCTTCTAACGTGTCTGTGCTGTTTGGTTTCCAAATATAACTGAGACGTATTCACGATTGTAACTGCGAACGAGGCGTCGCGGTGAGTTCTGGCCCCGCCCCCATCCTGCGGTCAGCCCGCAGGCGGTGTGCCACGCACAGATTGAAAAATGTGCGTTGCTGTACCGCGGATGCTGCAGCGAGAATAAGTGAATAAACTTTATTCAAGTTGAACTAAGTTTCACCGAAGACACAGAGAGCATCCTCCCGCCCTCCGGTGATCACGGTAAGGACAAATCTGGCCCTTTAGTCCGCTGGTCTGCGTCATGTTCTACTGTTTATAAGTGTGTTTTATAGGCGTGTCGGTGCGAAATTAGCATTAAAAAAAAGTTAAGGTATTGTGAAAGTATTGTGAGATGTCAAATCCGATGCTCCTTTCGCTGCTGAACTTCGTCTGAAAAACTACCAAACTAAAACTTCACGGGGACAAGAAGTCTGGTTTGATTTCACGGAGACACTAACGGCAGGTGATTTATTAATAAACACACTGTCAGTCGGCGTGTGTCCTGTCGATCACGTGTCCTTATTTACATGTACAAAACAACAGCAAAGCGGATTTAATGTAACAATCCACCAACGTACGCTGCGGAGAGCAACAGACGACGGCGTCAGTTAAATAGTGGACAGAAAAACTGACCTCTTCCGGAAGTAAAGCTCTTTTGGACTAAACCGATTTCACTACACCAGTCTCTGGATTTCTACGGTACTTAAAGCCGTTTTGTACTTTGTGCGTGTTTCTGCCGAAGTGCGCATAGATCTTTAATTCTGGGAGTTTTGAAGGGAGTCTGGCGGGATTCGAACAGAGGAGGGTGTGTCCAGGCGGGCGGGGGTCAGCGGATGGAGAGAAACCACCGCCTTGGACAAATCTGCCTGACAAATCACATTTTATGCCTGACAAGCAAACTGTGTGTGTGTGTGTGTGTTGGTGGGTGTGTACCAGCTGAGCTAAAACACACAATAACTGTTGTATTGACTCAGACTTCACGTCATTTCCACACATTTAAGACGTCGATTTAAACCCAGAGTTCACTCTGGTCTTTTCTGACCAATGAAAGTCACTTCTGTTTGTGTCCTCCTCTCTTAAAGGTGTGGTCCAGGAGCTGCTGCTTCTCACAGTCAGATTTCTGTGTCCACCAACATTAACGTGGTGTCAGCAAAGTCTGATTCACTGATGAAAGAATGTCGTTTTTACTATAAGTGTAGTTTTTAACATGACAGAATTTACACTGCCCATTGACTCATGGGTTTTAGATTATCTTAGCATTTAACTGGAATAAAGCTGCCACAGTTTATCACGTTGCCAATCAACAGAAAACAGCAGTGATTCAACTGTGCCATGATTCTAGGAGATGAACTTTGTGATGCTCTGTTCAGCTGTACTGTGTTATACTGACAGGTGTTTCTATTATTTTGTCCACCCCCGAGGATAAACATCAGCTCTCTGTGTAATTGTCAGGTACGATCATTAGCGAGGTGGATCAGAAACAAAGCTTGAAGGAATTTCTCCACTGTAGCAGTGAAGGTGTGGTGTGGTATGATCACATACTGTACCTGGCCACACCCTCACCTGAGAGCCACAACCTATCCTGTCAGATCAGGTCCTGATCAGCTAACTACAACCCAGAGTATGCAGTCTGATTCTATGAAGATGTGTACTCTGCTGTGATTGTTTTGTTTGCCTGTAGACTCGGAGGGGAAAGGGAGACCTGAAGCAAAGACTTGTTAAGGGACTCATTCCATCTAGGCCCAAACCAGTTTAGGTAGAAATGAGCAGAGTGATGGTGAAATTCAACAAACTGGTGCAGAAGTAGAGTTCAGCATAGAAACTCGTTTATAAATTAAAAACAGAGTCACAGGACTGAATGTCTGGGAATCAGTCCTGCAGCAGCGCTCTGACTCAGTCATCAGTTTTACAGCTTCCGTCATTTCTGTACGGTCAGCAGCTCAGCGAACAGGAGGAAACAATGATGAGTCCAAATAAAAATCATAAAGAGAAGTGAGAAAATAAAACTGTGGGGGGGGGGAAGACATTTTATATTAATAAAGCTTCTGAATAAAAATGAACAGAAGATACTGAGATAAAGCAGAAAGTGTCGTAGTGGTGAGCTGACTTTTAAACATTTGTATTTTAAGACAACACCTGGACTCTGAGACTGTGATGGGTGTTTTATCAGCTGAACTGTTTACTGACAAACAAATCAGCAGATTAATCAATAATGAAAATCCTTATTGAGGAGTTTGTTACCAGTTTATTACGTGATGTACTGTTTACATTCTCAGTTTGCACATTGACTGTTGAACATGCTGCTCCCATGCAGCAAACATTCTCTATTTATATTCTTATATATTTTTATCATATTGCTGCATTTGCTGCTTAAAGTGCCTTAGATTTTGTGTTACTTATTTATCTACTTTATATTTCATTTGTATTATGCGACATTCATGTGGACGGCAAAGTAAGAATTTCATTGTACAGGGAAACACGTTTCCTAACTGTGCATGTGACAAACACTTTGAACTATTGTCCTTATGGTTCAGCCCAGCGCTGAGCAGCTGATCACTTATTTGTCTCTCCTCTGGTCAGAGATCAATAAAAACCTTCAGTCTCTCTGTAGCTTCTCGTCGTTATGGCGACCAAAACCAAATGGGGGACGGTGAAGGACCGCGTGACTGGGAGCCCCATCACCGAACTGGACGCCACACTGGAGGCAAACCTGGAGAATGCTGACCCTGAGCTGTGTATCCGCCTGCTGCAGGTATGACTGCTGCCCCCTGCTGGTCACAGACAAAACCTGCAGATACACCTTTGCTTTTAAAGCAAAAGGCCGGTGACTTTGTACGATGCTGCTGTTGTTGTTATTCCCCCCAAACCCCGTCCAGAGACCAGCAGCACCAGTGAATGTGGTGTCCTCACTGTAATGTGTGTGAGTCCAGACCCTGGTCCAGCTTATCGCTCTGTGCCGTAGACCTCCACTGTTGTCCACAAGCTATTAACCCCACAGTGCTGGGGTGTGGCAAATTGGGGGGGCAGGTATCCTCCTCCAGGAACCTTGGGAGGCCATCTGTTTCCAACAAGCAGCTCCACAGGCTGAGAACAGAGTCTCTGGTCTCTGGTCACACTGCTCCACCAGCCTCTTGAGAAGACTTAAAAAGCACAGATTTCAGTTTCTTTATGCATCTAACAAAAAAAAAATATTTCTCAAGTCTTGAATTTCAGTTTTCATTAATACCTGTATTAGTCTTGCAGCCAGCTGGAGGCGGTGATGCTGTAAGAAGTTTGCCAGTGATGTATAGTAAAAGCTGGCTGGAACATCCCCGGTCCCACTGTCCCAGCCCTACGTAGGGTTCATACTGTATGTGGAGCTTCACTAGTTATGTTGTCATTTCTGACTTGGTTTGTAATATTCCACCAGGTTTCAGTTGTTTTCACTGTCACACCTGCAGTATCACAGCGTAAACACAGTGACAGTCACGCATCCAGCATGGACTAATTCATTTAATTAATGACAACAAAACAACATGGGTTAAAGATGTGGTCTTGGACATCTCTGTGTCCCCTCCAGGTTCCCACGGTGGTGAACTACTCCGGTCTGCGGCGGCGGTTAGAGACCAGCAATCGGTCATGGATGGTGCAGTTCCTGGAGCTGCGGGGTCTAGACCTTCTGATGGTAGCGCTGGAGCGACTGTCGGGCCGCGGCTGCGCACGCATCGCCGACGCTCTGCTGCAGCTGACCTGCGTTGCCTGTGTCCGAGCTGTCATGAACTCGTCTGCAGGACTGCACTTCATCCTGGACAACGAGGGCTACGTCAGGACCCTGACCCAAGGTGGGCCATGCTGGTCCTCACCTTCAGTGCACCCTTTCTTTTTGCTTGTTTTCTTAAACAATTATTAACACGCCATGTTGTTGAGCTATTGAGGACTTACATGACTTACCTGTCGTCACCCGTGTGTCCCCTCAGCTCTGGACACGTCCAACGTCATGGTGAAGAAGCAGGTGTTTGACCTGCTGGCAGCTCTCACTGTGTTTGACCCTCAGGGACACCGCCTGGCTCTGGACGCCCTCGAGCACTACAAGGTACACTACCAGTTTAACAACACCACAGTGCTACTGGTGGTTCTGGCTGTACTGGGCAGCCTCCGGTGTGGTGGTGTGGACAGTGAGCCTTCCCTAGTTAGATAAAGACAGAAAAGTTTCTTCTTGGCAAACAAATAGCTGGCCTTGGATTCACAGAGCCACAGGTCGTGACATGCTGGGAATCTCCAGGTCGGCGATTTTCTAACCTGAACAAAACAGGTGAATGTTTACAGAAGTAAAACAGTGTTGTAGCGAGTACTGTACTGAAACTTGTCCTTGTACTCGACTTGGTTCTTTCCAGTATATAGAATTCTCCTCTACATCTACCTGAATTCTAGCAGTTACGTTGTTTTGTCAAACAAAATGTGTGATCAGCCTTTGGCATTTGATGCTCAGTTATAGGTCAGTGCAGCGTTTGCAGTCAGGTGGCTGGTCTGCTCAGGGAGGAGCTGTGCAAAGCTCTGCTGGGGTTTATGTTTTGTTATCAGCGGGTGTGACTGCTGATAAAAGTCTGAATAAACACCTCAGTTCAGTTTTAAGATGTAGTGTTTGTCCAGGCTTGTTTTTACTGCTCTGATCCCAGCACAGAAGCATGATGGGACACCATCCCTCACAGTCGTCATGTGGGCAAGAACCTACTCGTCTGTGCTTTCTTAGTAAAATAATGAATATCTCTTCTGAAGAATACCTGGTCTCCTGTCAGCTGAGCAGAGGCCAGATGGAACAGATGCTTTCAGAAAAACATTCCTGGGATGTTCTTCAATGGTGGTTCCTCTGAAAACCCTGCACAGAAATAATTCAACTGCTGTTACACCCCAGTGAAGCTTAATGTTTTTGTATTGATGTGTAAATGTCTAAAAATAAACTCCTCTGCTCAGATTCTCATCATCAGCTGAAAGAAAACAGAACAAACCTGAGAGTTTAGTTTCAGTCTTTTCTTAGGTTTAAGGACATGTTTTGGTGACTATAAAATGTGTGTGAGCTGCTGAATGTCCTGTGTTTGTGTTTAGAGTCTGAAGAAGCAGAAGTATCGCTTCAGTGTGATCATGAATGAGCTTCACGGCACTGATAACGTCCCGTACATGGTGACACTGATGAGCATGGTCAACGTCCTCATGGTGGGACAAGAAGACCTGAGGAGGAGGGACCGACTGCGAAAGGAGTTCATTGGTAAAAGTTGACACATGACAAGAGATTGCGATGTTTTGTAACTGTTCTCTATAGTAGACTTCCCACCAGTGCAGCACTTATTTTTGCAGGGTGAAAGCGTCTGACCAAACCATCTCTTAGTCACAATTGTCTAACAGACGGATTTAAAGAAATCTTGTCTGCAGTGTTTATTAATCTTACAGGCTTTCGAGTTGCATGGTTAGGTGTTAGCGGTTGCAAGGACATGAACAGGTAATTAAGCAGGCATTTCTAAGTGCTAGCTACTAGGTTGATGAACGGAGGTGTCCAGGGCGTCCAGTTCCGTGTTGTGGTACGTTTGCTGGAAGGTTGGGAGGTGGCTGTTAGAGCGCTAACGGGTGGTTGATAGATTTGCCCACATTTCCAAAACTTCCTTCCAGCTCTTTGATGATGTGAGAACATGTTTTTGTTCTGTTGCCGTGGAGATGGTTGAGTCAAATTCAAATAAAGGACCTGAACCAGGATCAGATTTTCTGACTGAGAAACATGTTGTTACAGGGCTCCAGCTGCTGGATCTGCTGCCCAGACTCAGGTACTGAGGTTATTTTACTTTTAATAATCAATGTGTGTCCATCAGTTTGTGACGTGTCTCTTCCCGTCTCCAGGGACATAGAGGACGAAGACCTGCATATCCAGTGTGATGCATTTGAGGAGTCTTTGTCAGCGGACGAGGAGGAGATGGAGAAGCTGTACGGGGGTATTGACATGAGCAGCCATCAGCAGGTCTTCACCTCTCTCTTCACCAAGGTAACCACACCTTTAACTCTTCCTCCTCCTCCACCAGCATGTTCACCCTGACACCTTCACCAGTGACTTTTTTTGCCCAGGTGTCCAGCAGTCCTTCCTGTGTCCAGCTGCTGTCCATCCTTCAGGCCTTGTTGTTGCTGGATCCAGACAGAGCTGAGGTCTGGTTGGCTCTGGAGCTACTGGCTGACCGAGCTACACTGCTGGCCCAGGATCGTAAGTCTACTTGACTTCACTCTTATCTCCGGTGCTGATAAAACTCCAGGAATAAGTACGTTATCAAGATTATGTCCTCAGAAAGATGTTTCCATGGGTCTGCTCCGTTCAGAGGACCAAGAGCCGATGTGGGTCTGAAATCAGAGCAGGTCCAAATCAAGTCTAGTTGGACTAGGTGGGATCACTTCTACTGGTCTAAAGCTATGTGCACATCACAGCTGAAGTTTTCCAGATTTGATATTTTCCCTACCAGTGCCTCAGACATGGTGCTTCCAAAATTTTGGAAAAATTAATTGTTGACAGATTAAATAACCTTGTCAATAAATATGATATATTATCTGAAAATCAATATGAAGTCAGGAAAAAACACATCAATGGCATTACTAGATGTTACAAAAAAGATATTGGATACAATTGAAAAAAGGAATATAGTGTAGGAGTATTGATTGGACTAAAAAAGGCATTTGCCACTACTAATGTGTTCAAGAAACTTGAGAGATATGGTATTGGGGGCGTCGCACATTCTTGGGTTAAAAGTTATGTTACTCAAGGGCAGAGGCCACGTCTTTGCCGGTATTTGTGAGTGCTAGAGAGGCTGCTGACTGTATGTGAGCCAAAATTCTGAGTTGCCCCTTGGTGGAGGTTTACACACTGAGTGCTATCTCATTTACATGATGGTTTACAACATGTTCAGTTAGCTTGCAGGTGTTTCCAGCCCGGGGGTTTCCATTGTGTTTTGGTTAGCCATACTGCTAACGTAGCCTACTCTGCCTTAGCACCAGTTCTAACACTGGTGAGTCGGCATTGATAAATAAAAAACAGTTTAATGTCCAGTACTAACAGAAATACATGTCATGTCATGATGGTGCATTACCTGTTGCCCAAATTCAACTGTGAATAGCAGTGAATGCTCAGCTAACAAGGTAAACAAAGGAGCCTTCTTTCTGTGGGTGTCCATGTCCCCGATCATCCCCTGCACGGGTTCGGTCAATGCAGCGCCTTGTCATCATCATTTGGCGTCGGCTCCTCACAGACCAGTAACAATAAACATGGAGGAGAGCGACGACAGTGACTGGGTCAGTGGAGAGACCAGGGGCCCGTTTCAAGAAGGAGGTACACAGAGTTGGAAAACTCGGAGTTTTCGGTTTCAGAACAGCTGAAAAGAGTTGGT